ATTACAGCTCTCCTGGATGGATTCTCTTGGACTTTAAGGTTTTCTTCTATATGTTCCTATTCTTCTTGCAGCCTGATTTCTAGGAGATTTCTTCAGGTTTTTATTCCAGGACTTCTTTTTAATTTTCTCAATTTCAGTCATTGTATTTTTAAAGTTCCAGTAAGTCGCTGTTTTGCTTTAGTAACTATGAAGATACTCAGTTGACCTTTGAACACCACAGGGATTAGGAGGGCCAACCGACTGCACAGTGAATAATTCCAATAAAACTTTTGACTCCCTTGAAACTTAAGTACTCCTCAGTATCCATAGGAGACTGCTTCCAGGAAGCTCCACCCTCACCCCATGGATACCACAGTCCTCAGATGCTCAAGTTTTCTATGTAAAATGGCACAGAACAATGCACACAGTTGGCCCTTTGCTTTCTCAGACTCTCAACTACAAATCAAAAACAATATAGGTATTTACTGAAAAAAAATGTATAAGAAACCCACACAGGTTCAAACCTGTGGTGTTCAAGGGTCAGCTGCATATAAAACTATGTTCACATCTAGAATTATCCAGGGGAGGTTGTATATTGAATTACTTATTCACACTGTGTATTTGATTATTTTTCTTCTAATATGATATTCATCTATTCAAAATCATGAACCAAAAATTAGTTTATTTGTGACACCTTGCTAGTCTGGGCCTCCTCTGCCAACATGCTAGTCTTATCCCACCAGGCCTCCTTTCAGTGAGAGATATGGATTGTGAGCTCTCAGCCTGCAGAGAACTTTCCTTTACACTGACCAGAAAGCAGGAAGCCAGCTAGGCCTAGACTACACGCCCCCTCCCCAGCTCCCCAGGAATTCCAAATCAAGTTCTCTGGCAAAAAGTATAGAAGAGGTGCTAACTTGCACAGCTGCTCCGAGAACAAACATCAACCCTGATCTCTAACCGCTACCTGTTCCCGAAAAGGGAACATCTGATGCATCTAATATGGGATCATGGCTTCCACATCCACAGCAGTTTTGGCACCTGCACAGCTGGGCTGTGCTCCTGCTCCTGTATTTCTTACTATATCACAAATTTTCCATCTCTCCGAAATTTATCAAGGTTAATGGTGTGTGTATGTCTCCGCCTGATTTGAGAACTGCTATAAATTGAATACCCTTGGTACTTTTAAATTTTATTTCAATGGGCTTTGTGGAAGGAGAAGATATATGTATGTTCAACCTGTCACCTTGAACTAGAAGCCTCGCTTTCCCAACCTCAAAGCCCTACAGCCTTCTCTTTGCCACTTCTCTGATATTTATTTGTCCCATTAGTGCTGGCTTATTTCCTTTTACCTTTCCCTGAGTGTTGATGTTTCATGCCTGTCCATCTCATCTTTTTATCCTATTTATTCAGTGTGGATGATTTTTACTCGCTCCCACAGACCGAATGCTCATTCTAAGCCAGTAGACACATCACTCATGACCAGCTCCCACCTCTGTTCTGGGCTCCAGCTTTATATTTTCTCTATTCACTATTGCCATTTATGCTCTAACTTTTCCGTTCAATGTCAGGAAATGGTGTATAATTTTTATTAATTACATAAAGAGTTAATTAACTAATGAATGCTTAAAGGATCTGAAACTGGTGTTAAGATAATCGGTTATACCATACTATTTCCCAACACTTTTCACAAATAATTGGGAATAATTAATGAATCTTAATGAATAATTAATAAATTATGTGTTTACCTAGGTATGAGCTCAACCTTGTGCCTCCTCTTTACCAAAAAATTTGTATAACCCATTTCCTAATAACACAATGTATTCAAACTTCAAATGTCTCTACCCCCAAAAAACTGTAGACTAAAAACCTTGTAGGCAACAAAGAACCACACCAGTTTCCAGTTACCATTTACAATATAGCACTACAATTTGAAGTTCAATGACTATACTCAAACTTCTGTTATATCAAGTTTTTGAAGCTAAAACACTTAAAGCAGAAGTTTTTACTTACCTAATTGGCTACCAATGCAAGTGTAGATTCAATCCATCTGTCCCTAATTGGATATGTGTATCTCTGCCAGATTGCCTTTTGTTTTGGCTTTAAACTACCCTTTTTAAGCCTGATTTCCCATGGAAGAAAAGTTAATAACAGGCACTCTTCTAGTCTGACATTTCAACTATAATGTCTTTTGATGCTGGATATAGATTCTATCCAATTCTACCAGAATGAAGAAAAGTTTCAAATAAGCTAAGGTTTCCCACTACTATGGATTCTTAAGATGCTGGAGAAAACAAACCCAGGTTCCTCATCCACATGGTGCAATTATCTGACCTCTATTAAAGAGGTATCCTATAGACAGTGATAGCTCTCATTCCAACTCTAATCACTTATGGATCCAGCCAAACTGCCCTTGTGTTTAAGTGTTCCAAGAATGATTACTCACATGTTCTTCCAATTAAATCATAAAATCTTTCTTAAAGTTGAGAAACTGTAGACAAATTGGATTTTCAGATTTGGAATCATAGATCAACATTTCTCATGATATTACAAACAGAGAACACTTGATATGCATAAAATAATAATAATAATAACAACAACAACAATAATAAAGGCTACTGTGTGTTGAGTGCCAGGCACTACTCTAAACTCATTACATATAATATTTTGGGTAGGTTTTATTATTCCCCATAAAGGATTGAGGCTTACAAAATTTCAATGTCTTACCCAAGTCACTTGCACAGCTTCTCCATGGTAGAACTGACACTTAACACCAGAAGTCTGATATTACCACACACATTTTTAACCACTAGGTGAGGATATCGAGAAGATTTAATTTTTGTCTGAATGTTAATTGAGTGACTGTATGACACAGAGTGTTGAAAAAACTCAGTCACCAGACTCAGTGTGACATATTACCAAAACTGAGATATAACGTCAACCATGAGTGCATCAGAGTTATGGATCACATTCTAGGTGCTTGGGGCAGGGGGGGAGAGAGACCGATTATTGACCTGCATACATACAAACAACCGTCAGGAAATCCACAGATAGTTTAGTTTAGAGAATTTCATAAAATGTGCCAAACTTTGCAAGCAATTTGTTTTTCTTTATGCTAATAACAAAAATCTACCAGTGACATAAATTTTTGTTCTACTTTATTTTCTTTCATCCACAGACTGATGGAGGACATTTTTTAATGAAGAAAGGATTATAAGAAAGAAAATAAAGAGACAAATGCTTAGAAAACCATCATTTGGGTGATTGTGTCAGCTTTGTTCAAGTCCAAGGACATTTCAGAAAAAATTAGAGAAAACCTTAGTGTCCTTTTCAGAAGGCTCAGATAGTGGTACCTTATGTAGATAACTAAGACCTAAAGGTGGTGGGACCATATTTCTGTAACACTTATGCATGTTGCTTTCTTCTCCTGTTGTTCCTTATTTTCCTTTCTCTTAATTTGAGCAGATTGTCAGCCCCGTGTTCTTTGATTTGGGATTGAATTGGGGAAAGTATTCCTAGTTTTTGTTAAAGATTTTTTTTTAACTGAAGGTAATCTGACTTTTATCCAGACTAGGAAAAGGTCTCCAGCAGGGAAGGGGGGTTTAATAAGAACAAAAACCTCCCTAGATCCCAGAGAGAGGGTCTTGTGTCCTGCTTCCCAGAGAAAACTTCTAGCGAGACAAAAAGATCCGAGATATTTTTATGGGCACCAAAATACAAAAGGTACCTCGTTCCCAGGAAAAACCTCCAGGAATCATAACTATCCATGCTTGCTCTAAGAGTTGTTTATAGATACGCATGTCAATAAAATATCTCTCTGCAGGTCAATGAGTATCTTAAAAGGGAAAGGCTCTGTGATATTTCTTGTTTATGAGACCACAGAGAACTTCACAGAGCCGTCAGTGGCTCAGCCTGGCAGAGAGAAGCAGAAAGATTCCCTGCTTCTGAGAGATTCAAAAGCAGGACCGAGAGCCCTCGCGGCTGAGAAGGTGTGCCTAGGGAACCAAGGAAGTCTCAGCAGCAAACCCCATGGGGTGATAACCTAGGACCAATTAAGGAAAGTGGATGTCTGATTTGCTGTCTCCATGGAAATATGGCACAGAAAGCATAGGGATCCCCTTTCCAGTCTTGCCAGTATATAGCCTCTCCAGAATCTTAGATGTATGCCATAGAAGAGCAATTTTCAACCTTTTTCACTCATGGCACACATAAACTAATTACTAAAATTTGAAACACACTAAAAATATATTTTGGCCAATCTGACAAAAAAATTCAGTATAATTTTGATTCCCTCACATTGGACATTTATTCTTGCCTTTCTATTCTATGTTCTATATCCTCTAGCACATCAAATACTTCAGGGCTAGTGAAAACATTTTCCAAGCCTAAGCTTCCATATGAACGTTTTCTGCCTGAGTATAACTGGTTAATCCCATTTAGAGGAATCCTAGCTCATGTCACAAGTGTCTACTTAAGGAATCAAAGTAATAAATTACTGAATGAGACCCCTGTGACACGTGCGAATGCACATGCCCCAGGTGCCAACATACTCACACGGAATAACTTAACATGCTCCATCTACAGAGCCAAGGCAGAGAGAAGAGGGACTCAACTGTCAAACATATTTTCAACCAACGAAATTCATGCAGATGATTCCAAGAAGTCAGGCCAAAGAAAACAGCCATCCTTGCCTAGTTGGAAGGGATTGGGTAGAGCCAGTAGTAAAACTGCTAAGTACTATTTGGTTGCCAGAAAAAGACCAGGAGAAAAAAAAAGTAAATTTGTTAAGCTTTTTAAAAAAAGACTCTTAATTTTGGTAAAAATATCTAATCATCAAAAAAGGCTTTTAAAAAGATAAGGCTGCATTCAAGATTTTGTAACCTGCCTTTTTCCAAAGCACACAGGAACATGTTACAGAGAACCCAAGTTGTTAAGGATGCAAAACCCTGATAATACACATGGCAAATAGTTATGCAAAAAAATGGCTTTGTTAAGATCCTGACCTAGGTGGGCTCACCTCTGTACAAGATCGTGAGTTATAATCTCCTCCTCTGTAGCCATGACTCTTCTAGGGCAATGGGCCTCTGGCTGACTCCCAACTGATCATGTCAGGTCTCTTGTTTCAAATGGCACACCATGTGCAGAATGCTGTTCTGAAGCTGGATCAGGCAGACCCTCAAATAATAAAGTGGTACTTTTCAACCTTGAGTACTGAAATAATTTTAAATACAATGAAAATAAAAACTCTATAGTCAGACCCAAGAGTTTTGATCAAGATGTTAGGAATTTCTTTGAACCCTTGTTTTTTGGTTGTTTGGTTTAGTTTTGTTTTGAAAATTCATGGTAATATTTCATTCTGCTCCATAATATTTTTGTTCCCTTAATGTAAATATAACATGCAATGAAATTTACACCCCAGGAAGATGCACAGTGTTGATCTGTGATAAGTACTCCATTAATATATGCAGGACACACACTAGCTTTGAAATCAAGACCCTGGGGGCATTTACAATGATTAGAGGCTTAATCACAGTCTTTGAAGAGAGCGTGAATCAAAAATAACATCATTGTAAATGCTACTGATATGATTAAAATATATATTCATAATTTAACATTTAAAATATTGATAGAAAATATTATATTATTAATATAAACATATCCCTGTGTTATTTGGTAGAGCAAATGAATTGCCTGTTAATGTTTTTTTAAAAATATGGAGCAAGGGTGATACAGACTGTCCTTGCAAATATGGTTATCTTTTTGGTTCCCTTTCAGAAACACCTCAGGATTCCTTATCTAGGGCCTGTTTTCAGTCGAGAGACAATCATCTTATTTAATAAAAGGCATGGACATACCTCCAAGACTACCCAGTCTAGCAAAGATATCATTTAGAATGGAAGGACAGATAAAGTGCTTCCCAGACAAGGTCAAATTAAAAGAGCTCATCATCACCAAGCCCTTATTATATGAAATGTTAAAGAGACTTATCCAAGAAAAAGAAGATTAAAAATAGGAACAGCAAAATGACAATAAATTTACAACTATCTACAATCGAACCTAAAAACAAAAACAAAAACAAAAACAAACTAAGCAAACAGCTAGAACAGGAACAGAATCACAGAAATGGAGATCACATGGAGGGTTATCAGCAGGGAGGGGGGAGAATGGAGGAAAAGATACGGGACTAAGAAGCATAAATGGTAGGTACAAAATACACTGGTAGGGTAAGAATAGTATGGGAAATGGAGAAGCCGAAGAACTTATATGTATGACCCACGGGCATGAACTAAGGTGGGGGATGCTGGGGAGGGGGGTATAGGGCAGAGGGAAATGAAGGAGAGAAAAAAATGGGACAAATGTAATAGCATAGTCAATAAAATATTTTTTAAAAAGAAATAAAACAGATTCTAATGAATTATCACCACTAATTAACATATTTGAATCCTAAAACTATATTTATTGTGTGCTCCTAGTTACCGAAAATTATTTATTATTAAATTAAATAAATATGAAAACAGTAAATAAAATCCCACTCTGCAGTGAAAATTTTGTAAACATTTTTTGTTTGTTTATTTTTCCAGGTAGATAAATATTTCACACTTTTTGAAACTTTTTCAAACTGTGTGTTGAATTTTTAACTATTGCATCCCAGAGTCAATGCATAAGTCAAGGAGTGTCTCTAACAGAAAATCAGTAGGTAAGAGATTTGGAGAAAAAGTTACCTCTTGATTGTCCTCAGAACAGGTGAGCTGTCTCCCCATTAGAGATGCAGATATGACTGGAAGAGGTTCACTAGAAAATGAGATGAAGTTAGTATCTTTAGAGTCAACCAAACTGAATATAAGGTATTATAAGCTGAATGTAAAGTACCAAACCGTATTACCAAAACTGATAATATAAAACTGAAGGCCAAATCACAATGAAGGAAAAGCGATCATAATATCTACTTCATCCTGCAATTTCTCTACAATACTGTATGGAAAGTTTTATCACCCCTATGGCACATCACAACTTCTATGAGCCATAGTCACATTTTCCTTTGCGGTCTACTTCCTCTATAAGAATACGTTAAAAATATTTTATGTCTGTATTGGAATAAAGGCAAATGTAAACCAGGGTGAATTCCATGATTAAATACCCATTATTATCATATTCACTTTTTTCTTCTCATTTTAATGAAAATTAAAACAAAGTTTTTTTCACTCCTAAATGTATTGTGTGCACTATGTACTGTGACTACTGGCTAATGTATAAGTCAATCCTGCCTCCGGTGGGTACTGGTGGTTAAACCCCAATAGCTATTTACCCCTTCTTCTAGACGAATGAAATCCCCAAGTTTTAGCCAGGCATATGCCATCCAAAATATAGTTCCCAGTCTCCTTTGCAGCTATGTGTGGCCACATATCAATTTACCCAATGAAACGTGAGAAGCCATGGGCATAATTTCTAGGTTATTTTCCCTCTTCCCACACTTGGGATTCAACACTGATATCATTCAGACCATGTGAGAGGGAAGAAAATTCTAGGAATTCTGGAATAATAAGAGGGTAAGAACCTGGGTCTCTGACATCTCAGGGAGCCCTGATGGCTTCCTAGAGCACAGTCACAGCACCAGCCCAGATTTTAGATAAATAAGAAATACATTTCTATTAATTTAAGTTCCTGGTATTTTCAGTCAGCCAAACCTATATCCAAAGTAACAGAACCTCCCATCACAGTGAGGAAACCGAGGCATGGACATAGTTTCTCAGTGTGGGTTAGTACAAACCAAAGTGTGGCTAAAGGCAACCCTGCCCTATCCATATTCAGAACTATGTTCTATTCACTGCCTTCCCACATCACATTGTCCTCTCCCTTCACAGAAACAAAAAGCATGCAGAACAAAGCAATTATGAGAGAAAGAAAAAGAGCATAAACTTTATGAAGCAATAAGTGTCATCAAAAGAGAATCCAAACAAAAAACAAATGGAAAGAAAAAAATGAAACAGATTCAATGTGGATTTTTGCCAGCCCCACATGACTTGACACTTTGAATTATGCCTACTTACAGGAAGTATTAGAATCTTTCCAAGAAAAGAATAATTCACATAAATGATGGATGTGCTACATGTTGCCTATTTGTTAGCTTTGACTGTAAGTTTATTAGTTTTTGGCTCTGATAATTTCTGATTTCTACTAACACAAAGCATCTCACTGAGGTGAGAATCCACAACATGTATCTTGAAAAAGCATATCAGTGAGAAATATTTCCAAGTACAGATCTGGTCATTTCCTTCTAACCCATGGGATATAAGAACATCTCTTCAAGCACTTTCTCTCCGATCATTTTCTTGCCTTACTCATGAGTCCATCAGGGTGAACAAGGGCCTGCCCAAGAAGTTACTTCTGTTCTTTGAATACATTAAATGGTCTAGTTACTAACTGAATTTAACTTTTTAAAGATTAAGAAGAGTCTCAGATCTTTTTTTTTCAAAATAGCTCAAAAGAAAACAAAGCTTTGTATTATTCTCTGAAAGCTATGTTTTATTTTAAAGGGAGTCTTTCAACAATTACAGAGGTTTTTCTCCTATTCACTGCTAATTAGAGTAAACAAAATGAAGGAGCACAGACATCATTTGCTCCCTGGAATCTCCTCCTTTTTTTGAGAGTCCAGGTCATCTTAGATATCTAAAAAAAAAAAAAAAAATCAAGCTTCTCCCTCACAAATAGATTCATGCAATAAACAGCATTCCACTATATTTACTGTGTTCACCAATAATAAATGTTTTAAAATATCTACCTTTTTATTTGGACATAGCAAAAGGAGTATCACCAGAAGAATTAACTGTGATTGTATATTTTAATCTCCTAAGGTCAAAGTTAACTCACAAAGCAGAAAACAACGAACCGAAGTCATATGGTTGCCCACCCTGTCGCTAGGACTCTGGTGGCCACAGCGAGGGTTCAACCAGGGAATGTGGGGCAAAGATGCTCCTCTCTCTCCAGGAGCAGCCCCAAAGCAGCACTGATGAAAGGAAAGCTGTAGCGGTGTTGGAGAAATATTAGAACTTCATTTTTAATCTAAGCCACAAGAAAATGACTCCTCTCTCTCACATGGGTCAACGCCATACCCCGACTCAGTCTGCAGATCAGAGCTTCGCCACAGGCCATGAGTACGGTATCCAGAAAGTAGAGAGGAGGAGCTTGTTTCAAAACATGTCACTGGGTGACAGCAGCACACTGTCTCATGTGCTTGTTTCCAGTGCATCTATTATGTTGTGGTTTTGTGGATCCAGTGAAATAGACTAACCGACTATCAGGTTTTAAAGGAATATTCCTTTACAAAATGTCAAGTACGTGAAAAGTTTCTGCAACTAACCCATGGGCTGAAAACTGGTAGCAATTTTAACATAAGCAAACAACTAGAAAAATAGTAACATTAATGTTTTAGGTCTTAGTACAAATTTTTTCATCAGCCACGTCATATACATTTAAAAATCAATGTGTCATGTATAAAAAGATCTCAGTCTGAAAACTCCAAAATTATCAAGAACACTGTTTGAAATATGGATTCATTTTTACAATTTTTGACAATGAAGAGCCATAATTTTTATCAATGAACCCTGTGCCAAAGGCATATTGTACCTTATAATATTGACTCATGATTATAAGAAGCAAGCCAGTTTTAATGTGAGCATGCAAACTAAAATGTAATGATTTTCTGTCTTGTTTAAAGCCATGCTATTCCCAGGCCAGTAATTTATAATATTTTACTAAATTTAATGATAAATATTTAGGAGTCACTTCTGTGGTTTTTTAACAGTGAAAATCACAACATTGGGGAATACTTTTCCTCCTAATAAAAATTTATAAAATAATTTACAGAAATCAATACATTGACAAACTACCAAGATTCCTTCATCAGCAAGTAGATTTGCAAGGTGCATAGAAAGCATTGCTGAAGATTGGGCAGAACAAACACCAGTCACCTCATGAAGTATGGGAGATTTGCTGTACGTTGGATAAACATAGTGATGCTCCCTCATGGTTCAGCTTATAGTATGAGATTTTGTTTAAATAGAGTACACAAAGAACTACTTTTTTTAATCACACATCAAAAGAAAGATGGAACAGAAAAGGTAGATTTTCAATAGCAGAAAAATTCTTTAAGAAAACACTGCTTTATACAACTGCATAATATAATCATTGGAACCGAAGAGAAGGAGTCAGAGTTAAGCTCCAGACACAACTGTCGAAGAGATTGCTACCTCCAGGGTTCACAGGCTGTGTGGTAGCAAAGAAGGGGAGTCCAGTGCTGCCCTCTGAGCTATATGGTATTTATGGTACAATAAGTTTTATAGAAATAAGACTTTGGAAAGGAGTAGATATTTTAGAATATTCTGAATGAGAGAGGGGGAAAAAATCAAGAAAAACTTTTGCACCTCAAAATGTAGCAAATGCTGCATTTTGAAAAAGATCTTTAGAAATGGTTTTTACTTTTATAGTACTTTTTCACTAAAATATACGTGTGTGTCATCTATTTAAAAATATTCCCTATATCTTTTGTGAATATATATATATATATACATATATATGAGACTGTAAAACAAATTGTCTAATCTGTTTAAAGGCCTTCCAAACAAAGAATTTTCAGTAAGTTTTGAACTCCTGTTAAAAATGTTAAACTATTACACTTTTTTTATAGTTTGCAAAAACTTATTAACATCAAAGAATATAGAAATATACCAAATTTCATTAAAGGCTTATATAATTGGAGAACACTAATTAAAACATGAGAATCTTAATTTTAAAAGTACAGTCAAAACATGCCTACTATATTTATAACTACATATCTTCATGAAGTATCTTTTTCTACCATAACAACCACTAAATTTACCAGAAGATTTAGCAGGCATTAAAATCACCAGAAGCACTTTTTCCCCCAGACGTACTTTTAATGGAAGAATCACTGCATCACAAAGGGTTAAAGCAAGACTTCCAAATGTTAATGAGAAACAAGTTGATAGTAACCACAGGAAATGCAAACCTGTACAGTCTCTTTAACTGTCGGTGCCCAAATGCTCGTGAAGTTCTGCGGGCTTGCCTTGGTTTATTGGAAATCGTTAAAACAGGGCACTCTCCCCAGCTGATATTAATAAGGCCACACCATTCTTGCCGCTCCCAGCACCTCTGTGTAATTCGCCGGGGCCCCCAATTATCTGTGGGCGATCTGCAGGCCTGTGGAGGGGGTTCCACATGGGCAGGCGCTTAATGAACAGACTGGCTTATAAACACAGGCTAATCTCTCCCACATGAGCACCTGAGGAGGATCACAAGTGACAGCTGTTTAAATTTGCAGGGAAATTAATGATGCCTAAAGAGCCAGAGCTTATCAGCCTTGGAGTAGATTTGATAGAGGAGAGCCACCATGGGGCAAAATGTTTATAATTGTCCATAAGTGCCTCATTCTATGGCTTTATCTTTGCAGCATTTATTGACACGGTCTTTTCTAGTAATGCTTGTGTTGGCAGAGTGACTTGGTTCAGTCTGGTCCTCATGTTTGGCTCCTTGGGCCCCTAATGAGCATTACCCCCTCCTTAGATCACAAGCCATTTTACGCGATCACGATGATTGTTGGCACCCCAACCACTTAGAGAAAATCCCATCAGGCATATACATTGTTTTGGTCCACAAGACATTGGGTCCACAAAGCATCTACTCAGCCCCAGAGCTGGGCCTCACAGAAGGAATGGGGAATAGAGTGGCCACACTGCTAGCTGTCTGGGGAATAGAGCAGGAACAGGTAATTAAGTGCAGATTGGCCAAGGGGCCAGCAGTGAGAAACAGCACATGCATGGCAAAACTTACCACCCTCTTCTTCTACTCCTGCCTCCTCCCTGCTCTGGTGTTTTATGGCTTTTAGGTATCATTTATGGTTTGTATGTATCAACAGGACATGCTACCTTGTTTTCAGTTGTCTTTACATTCTGCATACTCTGGGATCCCTTAACAGGAAGTGGTGTCATTTTGAAGGGGACTTTGCAGAGTTTAGTGTCATGCGAAAGGAGATATAATAGAGGGACAGAGACAAAGAGATGAAAGATAGATATGCTGTTCTGTAAACAGTTAAAAAGGGAAGACCTTAGCTAAACTAAATAGAGGAGAAGTCAGCACTGTAAGGTAACTAAAAGAAGCATATTGTAAACATCTTCTGTGTCATTAATTTCAGAAGGTAGAAGAGTATTTTATTTTATTAATATTAGAGAAGATGAGATTAAGCTTCTCTTGAATATCTATAACACACCATTTTTAAATGCCATTTTGTCATATGGTTAACTAGCCAAATGTTCTGCAGAGATACTTGAATATGTTCAAAATCAGGCTTCAGGGCAGACAGGAAAAATAGTCCTGTTGGATAAGATGCTCATGTAACTCTGTGGCTGAATCCAGTGGGAGACTCGTATACTCAACTGAGATTTAAACTGACCTTTGATACCTAGCATTCTGGACTACCAAATTACTGAGAACGCCACTGAGAAAAGGCAACCTGTTCTCCACAATGTATCCCCATGGCTCTCCAAGGATACTGGCACATCTAACTGTTTCCAAGAAGTGAATACTGAAGCCTAGATAAGCCAGACTGCACAGCTACATCAGTCCTTTGAGGGGTTCTGCTAGTTATGATAACACTTGCCTACGGACAAATACTTAAACACGAATACATAAGTGTCTTACAATTTGGTTCACTAAAAGTGTAAATTTTTAAATAAGGAATTCAGAACCAAAAGAAAGTATGCGGAGAGCAAATTCATAGACTCGAACAATTTCTTCACTATTATTGTGTTTTATTGAGCCTTATTTATTCTTTTTTATCTCTCCAGTGAAAATATGTTTCAGGTATATTATTCTACTACTGTTATATGTGCATTCTTACAAATATTCCTATAGGCAATAAGCTTCACTTGATAAATATTTCTTTGCAGGAATGATTATAATTTACATATATTTGTAATCAAGGGAAGAAAAGTTACTCTGGCGTGAGCATAAAAGATATTGTTATCAGGTAATTGACTCTTTTGGTGAAATATTAATGCTTACAAAATATTCATTGAATAAATAACAAATCATATCCTTAAATCATTGAGATTGGGGTAAGCAAGGGTTATACAGTTCTTTGCTTAAATATATTTTGAAAAAAGCATTCTCTACTAATTAATAAAATAAATCTTAAATATGTCATGGATCAAAATTACAAATTTGTTTTATATATTACTCAAAAGCCAGTACATAATTAATTTAAAAAAAAAACACCCAAGTCTCCACTCTTCTTTCTCTTGTGCTATGGTTGAAAAAAGCACTCACAACTTTATTTCTTTATTCTAGTATGTATTACATAAATACTAGTTTCAAGCTTTGAATTTTATTTTCATAAAAGCCCAAATAAACTTCAAACCATAGATATAGTTATTTATCGTGTTCTTAAACTTATTCAATGGCCCAAAGTAGCATTACCCAGGGAACTATTTCCCTGATTGAAAAATAAAAAATATAACAGACTCTTGCAAATCAATGGAGGAACAATCAGAAAAACCTTTAACATGATCAGATTTGTTTAAAGTTTATGTTTGAGGATAACATTTGGCTACATATATTTAACAAAATTATTCTCTACCTACAGTGTCCAATTATTTCAGGGTGAGTAGAAATGAGCTCTTTCAAAAGAACAGGGACCAAAAGAGACTACTCAAGGGGGTAAAAGTCTGGCTTCACTCCTCTCTTTTGGAAGTCAAAGCAATGTCAGAAATATGGTTAACCACTTGTTCCTGGGATCCCTATGAATGTTCATGTGCCAATGTGGACAAAGAAGAATAACATAGAGCTCTGGGTGGTAGAAGGCAGGTTGAATTCCCCAATTCAAATCCTGGCTCCCCCATGGTTGGCCAAGTTGCTTTTCTCTGCACCTGTTTACTCAACTATGAAATGCACATAATAAATGGGGTGGATCAATATTTTATCTGATCACTAATACTTCTGATTTTCTTCCAGCCAGTTACCTGGTATGACACATCTCTGCCCCTTGTTGTTAGACCTGGCCAGGTGACTTGCTTGCCCAGCTGTGTTATTTCTGGACAGAAGCATTTAAAATCTGGTAGGTGATGATTCTCTATCACCTAACTTCTCTGATGCAAACATTGTGGAGATGCAAACATTATTCCATGCAAGATGGAATATACGACTTGGTTCCTTAAGTAATTATAATAAAGCCTGCCACCTGCTAACTATAAGTGTACATGACACATAAACAAGAAATAAACCTTTGCTGAGGTCATCTTGCACCACCAGCTTTAAGGGGTTATTTATTACCACAGCATTACCTACCTTATTCTAACTGATGGAATAATCCTACATACCTCAAAATGTTTTTGTAAGGATAAACTGACTATAAATCCCTTAAATAATACCTGGAACAGTGTAAATGCTTTACTCATTCAGTATTCCACAGGAATTTTTAAGTAACTACTAAGTACGAAACCCTATCCTAGGCAGAAGGAATATAATGTAAGGAAAAACAAAAAGTTCCTGATTACATGGTATTGACTGTATCGCAGGGGTGCCCAAACTTTTGGTATTTCTGTGCCACACTGGAAGAGGAAGAGTTGCATTGGCTGTACATTAAATACATTGCCACACATAATCACAAAAACATCTCATAATGTTTTAAGTAAGTTTACAGTTTTATGTTGGGCAGCATTCACGGCCATCTTGGGCTGCATGCAGCCCACAGACCACAGGTTAGACACCCCCAATCGTGGAAAAGGCAGTTGATAATCAAATGATGACACAAATACAAAATTGTAACTTTGCAAACTGGAATCCCTAAGGGCAGATGGCATCAGAAAGCACATGAGATAATTGACCAAGGCAGAGAGGTCAGCAAAAACTTCCTTGAGGAAATGCAAAATCAGTTTAGATCTGGAGGTCACAGAGTAATGTTAATTGGGAAAAGTTAAGAACTAGCCTTCCTTGAGGAAGAAACTTGGGTGCAAAGACTCATGGTCAGGTGCACGGTACCTACAAAACACTAACAGTTTCTAGCTGAAGATTAGGATAGGGAGTTCAGTAGGGGCCAAGCTTTGCAGGCAGGGGAAGATTTTGGTCTTTATCTATAACAACAATGGGGAGCTATGGAATATTTTCAGTGGGATAGGATTATATGTTGAAAAGATTACTCAGACTGAAGAGTAGAGAGTGGATTATGATGAGTTGTGAGGGGGTGTGGTGGATAGAGATGTTAACAAGCCAAGAGACCATTGCTAGAGTCAATGCAATAAATAAATGACAACTTGTAATAGGATGGTGGTAACAGAGATGGTAGAGATGGAATCTATCTTTCTAAAAAAGATAGATTAGGTGACTCTTTAAATATATATTCATCTACGTATAAACTAGTGTAAGTGAAAAACAGATACAAGTCTCAAGGTATCTTTTTACAAAATTTTTAGAAGGGTCAGAGCTCAAAGCTGGAATGATCCCCAGCCAGAAACAATGCAGCAAAGAAAATAACCACAGAAGACTAACTGTTGTAATGGAAACCTTATGGCCCCTAAAATGCTGAGGATGAGACAGTACAACCATTGCCTTAGCTGCCCCAGAAGAACCAATCATCTCCACAGCTCGGCTTGCTGGGTGCTCTGAGCTCCTCATATGTGGCTGCCACCTCTCATTGCTCACATTCATCTTTCCTACAAAATTCATGAAGAACCTCAGTCTCATGAGAAACCTTAGCTACAAAGAAAAGTAAATTTTATCTTTGGTTTTTACCCTTGAAAGTACAGGGGAGACATACTGAAGGGGGTTGAAGCAGATGCTGAATGAACCAGACTTAAGTACTTGCCACAAAAAAAGTGAAAAGAATTGGAATTTTTGATGGATTATCTGTAAGAGATAAGCTGAAATAGGTATCAAAAATGACTCACAGGTTGTTTGCTTCCCAACTTGATGGATGATAAATATTATTCACTGAACTTGGCTTGAGAGTAATGAACATGAATCTGGTGTTCAGCACACTGAAATTGAAGTAACTTTGAAACGGCCAAGAGAAAATGTAAAATGTACAGTTGGATATGCAAGAGAAGGTCTTGCTGGAGATAAATGTATGAGTCATCTGGTGA